GTAAATTTCTAAAACACCTCCATGTAACTGATATTTGTTTTTCAAAGATTTCAGAGATCACACTTCTTGAAATGTGTTTTATAGGGTTATTTAGTACAAAAGAAAGTCTATTCCGTTTATCACCCTTAAAACTTTTATTCCACTTCATGTGTAAAATGTCGGGTAGTTTATGCCATTATGAAAGCTAACATGCAATCCTGTATGTGGGTTGAGATTCTGATAGGCTTGAGTTTACTTTCATATATAAGGGAAGTTTACTTTCATATATAACAGACAGATAAGCTTATATAGATGAAAGAGAATCTCTCTTGTCTTTGGGAATCTGAAGAGTATTAGTGACTATAAGAGTATCAGCTCCAACTGTTGTTGTTTTTATGGGCTGTCAAGTTGGAGGACTCATAGCGACCCTTCCTTGGGTTTCCAAGGTGGTATCACTATGGAAGTAGATTGCCCAACCTTCCTTCCAAGGAGTGGCTGGTGGGTTTGAGCCACCAGCCTTCTGGTTAACAGTCAAGTACCTTAGGCACTGTGCTACCAGAGCTCCATCTAGGAGAGAACGATTAGCTGTCACAACCCATATTCATTTAATATCTTCCTTCCCCAGATCCAAGATTCAAGGAAAATAAACAAAACTCTTTCACATCTGTGTTAGACTGGGTTCTCTAGAGAAACAAAACCAGTGAGAGAGAAAGAGAAATTTATCTTAGGAAAATGGCTCACACACTTACAGAAGCTGGCAAGTCCCAAGTTCTTGGACCAAATGTTAAGCTGGAGGCTTTTCCCAACTCATGAAGCTGCAGGGACTGAAGAGCTCAAGGTTGGCAGGCAGTGTACTGGTTGTTGACTCCAATGAATGTCGAATCCAAGATTTCCAAGCTGAATGGTGGATTGTTCACTCACGTACAGTTGTAGGCAGCACAACAAAATCCCGATCCACAGAAGAGTGTCGCTTTTCCCACAATGTCCATAAATGTGCTGGAAGCAGGCCACACCCCTAAGGAAACTCCCTTTCAATGGATTGGCTGCTCAAAACATATACATCTGATCCCATCATTGGAGCAATCCATATCATGATTGTTTAAACCACACAGAATTGTGGTCCAGCCAAGTTAACACAGAGCTCCAACTATCACAGTCCACGCTTTGTCAACTTGGCAGTTGTACACATCTTCTTAACCATATATAATCTCTAAAAAAGGACAATTACAAAGTCATATTTGCACCTAACATGATATGCTAACATACATACAACCAAAACGCATTAACCTTATTTACATTTCACAGCTCATAACAGAAGGAAACAAAAAATTTGATGCACATATACAATGAAAATACAACAATCACAGTCCTCGTTTCTGCAACTGGTCATGTGGTTGTAGCTGATATTCAGAACTATCTTCTCCCACCACCCATTCTGTATTTCCCTTGCCCTCAGCAAGCACCTCAGCTTGTTGTGGTTTTTTGCCTGGTGGGGTGACCCAAACCTTCATTCCTGAAAGGTCTGGCTCATTAGCAGTCATATAAGAAATGGGTTGCTGTAATTTTCCATTGACTTTAATCACAGGGCATGGTAGTACTAAAAGACATCCTAAAGCATCTCCTGTATTCCAGACATATTCTTCTTTACCTCCATTATGTAATGGCAATCCAATTTCCCCTTGGTAATCAGGATCTATCACACCAGATAGTACAGTAACACCCTTCTTTGTCTGTTGATCCAGAGGCATGAGGAAGTTAAAATGACTGGGTGGCATTCTTAACTTCCAGTTCAATGCAATCAGTATTGTGTCTCCAGGTGGGAGTATTCCTCCCTTTGAGACTAAGATCACAAGACCCACAGAGCATAGGGTAGCAGGTACAGGAAGGGAAATTTTTTTGAGCGGGTCACTAGGGGTAATAGTGAGTGGTACCACTCCCGTTTCCACCCTTTGGTTCCTGGACCTGTCAATCCTGGCTATTGGAGAAACAGCACCATACATTGGACATTGGTTTAGAGCATATACAGCCTCCTGGTGAACATTACCCCAACCCTCCAAGGTATCGCCACCTCATGCCATGGATTAGCAGGGCCCTCTTTACTAACAGAGGCAGGATCACTAGTATCTTTATGATTAATCAAATTCAAGAACCAATTTAGGAAGCCCAGCCTTATGATTTTGTCTCTCTAGAACCACTCTTGGTACCAAATGTGTTAGACTGGCATCTCTATAGAAACAAAAGCAGTAAAGCTTATATATAGAGAGAAAGAGAAATTTATCTTAGGAAAATGGCTCACACACTTATAGGAGCTGGAAGTCCCAAGTTCTCGGATCAAACGTCAAGCTGGAGGCTTTTCCTGACTCACGCAGCTGCAGGGGCTATGAGCTCAAGGTTGGCAGGCAGTATACAGGCTGTTAACTCCAACGAATGACGAATCCAGGATCTCCAGGCTGAATGGTGGATTGTTCGTTCACGGATAGTTGTAGGCAGCACAACAGAATCCCAATCCATAGAAGAATGTCTCTTTTCCCAGGATGTCCATAAGTATACTGGAAGCAGACCACACCCCTAGGGAAACTCCCTTTCAATGGATTGGCTGCTCCAAACATATACATCTGATCCCATCATTGGAACGATCCACATCACGATTGCTTAAAGCACACAGAACTGTGGTCCAGCCAAGTTGATACACAATTCCAAGTATCACAACATCAAATTGTGTCTGTCTTCACAGACACAAATAGCTATAGGAGCAAAAATATTATCAAACCTATGAATCCTGTCATTTGACTCTCATTGTTAAAATTCATATGCCAGCTCTGCTCTAGAAAAATTGTTGAGGGGGAGATGCACCCTGTCCTTGAGTCTGGATTTACAGAATATTTTTTAACCAAGGAGGAGTATCTGCAATTAGGTGTCCAACAGAGAAACAGGCTCAAATTGAAACCACTTATTCAATGAAGTCTGGGATTAGATATATGGTCTCCTACCTCCAACTTTCTCTTCAATCCTGATCTACCAACACAATTTTTTAGTAAGATTGAATCACACTGATGACATAAATGCAGACTATAAGATTTATCTCTTTCTCCCTTTGATCCTTCAAGCTGCTATAAAACAGGTATGATTCTCAGAGTACAAAGATAAAGATCCAGATAAAATGTAATCAAACATAAGTGATCTACAATGTACTGAATTTTTGGAAATAAAAGGACTCTTCTGGAAAAAGAAAAAAAAAACTATTATAGAAAATTTCCTGTTCTCAGAATAATTTCCTACTCTGAAACTAATAGTGATGTGACAATGCAAAGGTTGCTATTCTTCTAACACTGAGAGTGCTTAATCAATAGAAAACATGATCTTATCCATTACTCAGTTAAACCTCATACTACTTTCATATTTATATTTAAGGAAAGTTAAACAGAGAGATTAGTTAATTTACCCTTGATCACATAGTCCGTATCTGTGAGATTTGGACCACAAACCAAGGTAATTTGCCCCCAGAATCCATGCTCTTAATCATCATGACACCCAAAAGGCAGGGGCCTTATTGTACTCATTGTTGTGTATTTACTATGTGGTCCACAGCAGAGCACATAAAAGGGTCAGTAAAACACTAGTGAATAGATAAAACAGGATAGAGCAAGCTGCTCAGATTCTAAAGGGGAAAACATGAAAACAGTTTCCAGTCATGAGAAGACAGGGCATGGTGTAGACACAGAACATGGGAGGACAGGACATGGTGAGGATCCAGAACAAACTCTGGCTGACTTGTTCTCCATTGCAATTTCCCTGCTCTCGTCAGGGAAACCTTTGTTACAATCCATGTGATTCCTCCCATCCCATTGCTGAGTAGTACTATTCAAATTTCACAGGAAACATCCCTCCTTAATGCCTGGTAAATTGTGTAATAGTTTAAGCACTCAGCTGTGAACCAAAGGTTAATGTTCTGATTCCACCAAAGGCTCTGTGGGAGGAAAGACCTAGGGATCCACTCTCATGAAGATTAAAGGGTAAGAAACCCTAAGCGGCAGTTCTACCCTGTTCCTATAGGGTCTCTGAGTGGGAATTGACTGAACTGCACACAATAACAACAATCTCTGGTAGACAAGAACTACCATACCCTTAGGGGCTAGAGGTGCAGCTCAAAGAGGAGTTAACATTGAGCTTCTCATGAACAGTGTGCCTCATCCTCAATATCCAGGTAAATTTGGTATTTATTCTGCAATTGAATTGTGTTTATTCTCTTATCAAAACTAATGTTAACAACTGTACACCTGGAACTCAAGAAAGAAAACTTTACTCCTACCATGATTTCTAAGCCACCTGGCCTATATCTGCATTCTTCTGGGTACTCACGCTACAGCTTCATATATACAGGCTACCTCCAGTCCAAACCACTGCACAGCCTGGCACAAAACTCCCTGCCCAATCCACTTCCTTACCCACCAGCCCACTTCCCGCCACTTCAGCCAACCCAATTATTTGTAACCACAGTCACAGTTCAAGGTGTTTCAACCTCCTGGATTTTGACTATCAAGCCTTTATGGACCTTGACAAGACATCATCCTTCCCAAACACTGCTTGAGTGTGAGTGTACTGAAATCTTTCTATAGAAAGGCAATAGAAAGTCTTTGAACCTTCTTCTTCCCCACAAGGTGCCGATACTTGGTAACACTTCTGTAGACTACTTGCATTGTTGATGTAGCTGTCTTCCCTACTGGACTGTGCTGTCCCTGGGAGAAGGCCCTGATATAGCCATCTTAACATCCCAAGACCCAAGCAGAGCCTTGCACAGAGGAGAAGTTCATAGAAAACAGAGACCCCAATAGGAAACTGAATCCTCCAAGACAAGAAGGCAAAAGAGTGATCATGAAAATGAAGTTAAAAACCAACTGAAAAATCTGAACGCATCTCTGATTTTTATTCGTGCTAGTTAGTCGAATTCCAGGTTCCAGGAGCCAGGGACTCAAGGGCCCAAGAAGTTAGGAGAGATCAGGGTTGGCCAAAGAGTCACTCACCAACTGGTGGAAGGCGGGTGTCTGTTCTCTAGCGTTTTGGTCCAGGGCTTGTACCAGCTAATCTGCTCAGCAGCTTTGCCCCAGAACCTCTCTGGGTCGGTCACCGAGGCCGCGAAGTGGGTCTTGTACTCTCCGCCGCCGCCGCCGGAAGAGAGCGCCCGGCACCCCAGACCCCCCACACTGCCCCGCGGGCTGGGGGCCACGTAAGCCCTGCGAGCCGGGCCGGTTCCCCTTCCCGGAGTGGACCCAGGCAATGGTCCCCCGAGTCCCCCTGCGCCGGTAACCTTGCGACATTGCAGCCAAGTCGACTTCATTGCTGCCCACAGTCCCTGACTGAGTCTCACAAGCGACAACTCTAGCTCCTGTAACTTCTTCGGGCCGGAGGAGGAGCAGGAGGGAGGCGGGGAGCAAATTCCGAGTAAGCCCCAGAGCCCAGGGGTAGGTGAAAGTCAGACTATAGTCTTCAGGAAAAACCGACCTGGAGCCACTGAAGAAGCAACAGGTTGGAGTGGGTCACAATGTCCTTGAGCATGGTGAGTAGCAGTGCTGCAAACAAATACAGTCCCCGCGGACATTTCCAATCTCGCGGCTCTCCCAGGAAAAGCGGAACTTTTCAACTTTTCAAACTGCAGAATGGCCTTCCTTCTTCAGCACACATGCACTCTTAGGAAAATACTAACGGACCCGACTCGCTTTTAATGTTCGAACAAGCAACTGTACTTAGCTTGCGCAGTTTAATCTTCAGAGAGCCAACTCGTGTAGGCTGCAATGCCGCTGGCCTACGCGAAATTTGCAAGCTCTGGAGTTGCGTCAAAGCCCCGCATTGTTATTGTTGTTTTTAAGTCAGCATAGTTCCTGGTTGTTTAACAGCAGACGGTGGCTCCATGGCGAAGACTGCTCCGGGCTTTCCTGACAGCTGAGAGGATAAGACTAGTGAAAAGAGGCTTGGCCAGCCAAATTTGCAACTGCTTCCTGGGCACTAGGAAAGGTAACCAACTAGCACAGGGATTCACCCACTGACTGGCCTCCACACAGAATCTAGAGGCAAAGAGCAGAAAGGACTTGTTGCATTTCCTCCTTTCTAAGGAGCTCTGGTTGGGAGCTCTGGTGGCGCAGTGCCTAAGGCACTTGACTGCTAACCAGAAGGCTGACAGTTCAAACCCACAAGCCACTCCTTGGAAGGAAGGTTGGGAAAACCACTTCCATAATGATACCACCTCTGAAACCCAAGGAGGGGTCACTATGAGTCGGGTACCATAACAACAATTTCCCTCCTTGGAGTTTCTCTGCCCTTTCTCTTTTTCATGATCAACCAAAAAAGGAAGAGCTAAGCTAAAAAAAACAATGAAGAAAATCTGAAGAGGAAGCTGAAGAAAACTAGAAGAGAGAGAGGATATAAATTACTGCTTGGATTTACCGTGCCTGCTTCCTGATCTTTTACTATTTTTCATGATATAGTGAAATTCGGTTCAAACCCACCAGCCACTCCTCGGAAGGAAGGTTGGGCAATCCTACTTCCGTAGTGATACTGCCTCGGAAACCCAAGGAGGGGTCGCTATGAGTCAGGGCTGACTCTACGGCCCATAACAACAACAACAACAGTGAAATTCAGGTACAATCTTTTGCGTTATTTTTATGGCAAACACATTCTGATGTAGTGTGAAGATATTTGCGGTTTTATATGTAAAGATGTGCATTTACAAATCTGAGGTGACAAATAGGGGAATGACCCTGACCCTAGGAAGGATTGCAAACTTGAGAAGCTGTAAACATATTATCCTGCAGGAAAAGAATTATGTGGGAATAAAGGCTAAACAGAAGACAGAGAAATCTAATGCAAAACAGAACTTCTTTATTCACTTAACCGACTCCCTTCAAAGGGTTCCTGGGTGGCACAAACATTTAAGCACTCTACCACGATTTGGGCCAGCCCAGAGGTGCCTTCCAGCCACTCCTCGGAAGGAAGGTTGGGCAATCCTACTTCCGTAGTGATACTGCCTCGGAAACCCAAGGAGGGGTCGCTATGAGTCGGGCCGACTCGAAGGCAAACAACAACAACAACAGAGGTGCCTTGGAAGACAGGCCTGGAGATCTGTTTCCAAAAGGTGGCAGCCTTTACCACCCTATGAAGCAGCTCTATGTGCACTGGGAGTCTCTGTGAGTCAGAACAAATACACTAAACCAACAGCAGCAATTACTCACTTTAAACTGAGAAACAAGGCATTAGAATTTTCCCTGACCTAAAATCAGTTGCTGTTTGTTTTTCCAAGGCACCTCTGGGTGGATCCAAACAGCCAACCTTGGTGAGTAATGGAGTGCTTAACCATTTGCATTACCCAAGGACATATCCTCTGATACCCACAAACCAAACTCACTGCCATCCAGTTGATTCCAACTCATAGCAACCCCAGTTGGGTTTCCAAGGCTGTAAATTTTTACTGGGGAGCTCCAGTGATATAATGCCTAAGGCACTTGACTGCTAACCAGAAGGCTGGTGGTACAAATCCACCAGCCACTCCTTAGAAGGAAGGTTGGGAAAACTAGTTCCATAATGATACCACCTCAAAAACCCAAGGAGGGGTCGCTATGAGTTGGACCCAAGTCCACGGCAGTGAATTTTAAGTCTTTCCTGAAGCAGACAGCCTCATTTTTCTTCTGCAGAGCAGCTGGGGGCTTCAAACCACCAACCTTTTTGTTAGCATCCAAGTGCCTTAACCACTAAAACCACTAAAGCTCCATATGTCTTACTTTATTCCTTCTGAAGGCTTCATATCAAACAATGTGTGATAGCAAAAGACAGTGCCACTACGTGAATCCAGAGAGTCAAGATCCAAATTCAACTCCTAGCTCCGTCCTCTCTTCTTGCCTGTCAGTTTGCGTTATGCTGCTTGCTGGTATACCAGTTACTTTTCCCACAAATTATCCACTACTGCCATACAATGAAGGAGTTCTAGTGATCCAGTACCTAAGGCATTTGACTGCTAACCAGAAGCTAGTGGTTCAAACCCACTAGCTGCTCCATGGAAGGAAGATGAGGCAATCTTCATCTGTAGACTTACTTCCTTGGAAACCCAATGAGGGTCGCTATGAGTCTGAATCAACTCCATGATAGTGGCTTGGCATTACAATGAGGAGTTCTGGTGAGGTTGTACTTAATGCAATTGAGCTGCTAACCAAAAGGTTAGAGGTTTAAACCCACCAGCTGCTCTGTGGGAGGAAGATGAGGTAGTCTACCTCTGCAAAGATTTATAGTTTTGGAAAACCTATGGGACAGTTGTACTCTGTCCTATAGTGTCACTACGAGTTACTATGAGTTGGAATTGAGTCCACAGCAGTAGGTTTGGTTTTGGTTTTGGTTGTACAATGATGTCCACTTTAATCTTTCACTGAACAAATAAATACGTGAGCACCATCATTGCTTGTGGTGTGGTTCATTGGGGCAAACATGGAGAAGGAAAGAGACAGCTATTGACATCTGTTATGTGTCAGATGGTACTAGTCCCTGGAAAAGGATATCATGCTTGGTAAAGCAGAGGGTCAGCAAAAAAGGGAAAGACCCTCAACTAGATGGATTTGACAAAGTGGCTACGGCAATGGGTTCAAGCATAGCAATGATTGTGAGGATCGGGCTGTGTTTCATTCTATTGTACGTATGGTTACTGTGAGTCAGAACCATCTCAATGGCATCTGACAACCACATGTGTACACATTGTGCTGGACACTTTCAAATAAGTTGCCTCCAGTGATTCTCATAAGAGTGCCAAGTGATAACTATCATGCCCATCATTACAAACAGAAGTTAAAGATAGGGTATTGCTTATGGCCACATACTACCAAGAAAAATAGGCAGATCTCAAACCTTATCAACCCTCAGAGCTTCTAGGTCTGTGGGCCTTGAATTAGAAGTGTCCTATGATCTTTATTACCTCTGCCTCAAGGTGGAGGACCCAAGAGCAGTTGGCCCCAGCACTGTTACCTACCCCAGTGTAATCTACAAACATGATCATATTTTTTTGTACTGCCTGACTTGAGTAAGGTTGGAAATCTGACTCCAAGCACATGATTTTTATACCTGGTTGATTATCTTCCTATTTTTAAAAAAGTATAGACTTCCAATAAAACATGACTCATTGATTATCCACATCCCTCTCCTTACCTTAGAGAAACACCACTGAAACAGAGTCAAAAGGAGACGGTGGTGAAAACTACAAGGACAATGAGAACAGGAGTGGAAAAGAAACCAATTAAGGGACTGGTAAGATGATGGGTCCATGGAATATGATTTAAAAGAGAGAGGAAAGTTAAATTTAACTCATTGTGGAGGAAAACATAGATTTCCCCTCAGAAGTCAGGGACCCTGAATTCCTCTAAATGTTAGAATGAAAGTTAGGACTTAAAAATAGAAATATTGATGGAGGGGGATCTGTGTAGGAGATCCTGGATAGACAGGGAGAACAATGTGTGAACAAAACTCAAAATCATTTGGGAAAAAAAAGGGGGGAGGGGACCAGATTTGCTGGTCCAATAGAACCTGATGGAACCACTGAGACTATGGTCCCTAGCTGCCTTTCAGGTTTGAAATTGAACCCACACCTGTGGCTTCCAGTCAAACAAAAGACAAGCATATAAGTTGAACATTTACCTGAAGTAGATACACCCCTTGGAGAGAACAATCATGGGAGAAAGAAGGGCTGTTTATGCACAGGGAGACAGCTCAGGGGGCAGGAGTGGGTGGAGGGATGGACACAGAGAAGAGGTAACTATTGGGAGGAAGTGGGAGGGGAGCTGTTGCATTGGGGTAAATTGTAGTCAGTGTCATGAGACAGAGTATATGTGAACTGCTGTATGGAAAGTGAATTTGCTCTGTAAACTTTCACCCAAATCACAATTAAAAAAAAAAAAATAGAAATATTGGTACAAAGATTGTATAAGGTAAAGTTAGACCCCGCATTGCAGACTGAAACAACTTTCTCTGAACCCTTTAGTACATTATTTTCATTAATGTAATTGTATAAACCAAAGCAAAGCAAACTCACTGCCGTCGAGTCAATTCCAACTCATGGAGATCCCCATTGGGTTTCTAAGGGTACAAATCCTTATGGAAACAGATTGCTCTATCTTGCTCCTGTGGAGCGGCTCGTGTGCTTGAACCACTGACCTTCTGGTTAGCAGCCAAATGCCTTATGCACTATGCCACCAGGACTCCTTAAGTTATTGTATAGAAGAGATTATTAATTATGATTTCATTTCAGGGCAAGGGATGAGTATGAATAAAGGCATAGTATAATAAAGGCAAAGAGTCTTGGTTGGATGG